AAAAAATAGATTGTCTCCATAGATGCTCCGCTAAATAAGAGCTTCAAAGTTGAAGAAATGTTATGATTGGTTTGATATGCAAAGTGTAGGAGTAGATATTTTGATCCATGGTTTTCTTTTCCGAAGTCCAAATTTTAGTCACTTTACCAAAAAATTTCCTACCCCGACCCTAAGCCAAATTACAACCCTTTTTTTTTTTTATAAAAGACCTTTTGATTCACACTTAGCCTTTACCATTAGCAATGGAGAATTGAGTTTTGATGCAAGCCTATGGTAGTACATTTTTCATGTGAATTTATGTTTGAGTGAAAACACATACACCTTTGTGTGAATGAGTGATAGAATAGGTTTATATCTTTTGTGAGGTGTTTGTGAAATTAGCATGTCTTCATCTTTRGTTTTTCTTGTGTGTTGATTATTGCTATATTAGTTGAGCTACACCTTCATGCAATGCTATGTCTCTTTTCTGGATACTCTAAAACTCAACTTGTGTGTTTGCTTCTTGCTACAACCTTAGTGTTTGCCCGAGGACGGTCAAAGTTCTAAGTGTGGGGGCGCCAAAAATTTGACGGATGCCGAGTCCGACAAATAATAAGTTCCAACTACGGCAAATTACAACCAAAATTGTAATAGCGGTAAGTCGGTTCGATTCCACAGAGACTCGGTTTCCACTTATTATAGCCAAACTAATCAAGTACAAGTTGACTGAATAAAAGTAAATACGAAGGGGGGGGGGTTGGATTTGATTAATTAAGCTAAGCATATAATTAAAATCAACTTAAAGCAAATAAATAAAAACCCAACATTAGTCACTTTTGATTAAGACAGTGGTACTAATCATCGATTCCAATAACGTAAATGTAATGAATAAAACCAAGTTGATTATAGTCGTTAATAAGCTCTAACGACCTATGTTTTTCCTTAAGAAACACCGGCTAAAACAAGCTCTTTAGCCGGATCTTAATCGCAATTAAGACGTTGAATAAGCTCTCAAGTCTAAAAATGTGCAATTAGCTTTATAGGACTAGAAAAACATCAACTCAAAGCCATAAGCTCGTAAGCTTGGCTTAATGAGGCTTTGGATGCAAGATTTCAAAAATCTAATTCGGAAACCTYAACKAAACCAAATAGATTTAATTGTTACTTTATCAAAATGTAAAGACGATTACGTATCTCAACTTTTGAATAACACTATTTCATAAGAACACCAAGAAATTGGTCAGATTACTCAATMCTCAAAATGAAATTGACATTAAAATAGAAATCAAACATATAATTTCATCACAAACGATTACAATGGAGTCTCAAAGTAACCACAATCAAAATCTAAGCAACTAATGTTGGAAAGAAAAGGGTTTAGCCACACATGGCTAAACCTAGATTACCAATTGCAATAATTAAGAAAAATACCTAAGAAATTGGGTGAAAGTGGGTGAGATGTTCTTCCAATCTAACAAGCTTCTTTGCCGTTTTCTTCCACCCTCGCCGACGACCTCCCTTGCGACCGAACATCCCTTTTGCTCGATGACTTGCTGCAATCGAACCTCCTGCTGCCTCTCTCGATTGCTTCTCTTTTAATCCCCTCGTTCCATCGCCACGACCCTCACGACTTCGACCCTCGCTGCCCACGTCGATAGTTGTTGCTCGTCTCGTCTCCATCGCATTTCTCTCGCTGCACGATCTCTCTCTCTCTCTCTCTCGACTTTTGATCTGGGCAGCAGCCCAAGGCTGCTGCTGTTTGCTGTTTCTCCTCTTTTTACACGGCTTGGGCTGCTGTTATGGGTAGCAAGCTTGGGCTGTTGTTATGGGCCAAAAAATACACATAGTCAACACATTTTTCTCAACTTTAATGGCCTCATATAGTTAGGATTAACTTAAAGTAAATTGGCCCTTTTTAAGTATATAT